AAGTCAAAAAAATTAAAGTCAGGAAAATTGTATAAAAAATTTTTAGCAAAAGAAAATATGCAATTCTTAGCAATAACGCTAAGAGCTTTTTACTTGACATTTTGTAATTGTAATTTTTAGTCAATTCTAAAAGCTAGATTTTTACATGGTTCTTTTAATCTATTTTTTCGTAAATAAACTTGTTCAAATAAGGAAATAATTAAAACAATTTTGTTTTAATTTATGCTATCTTTGCCGCGGCTATTTGTATTATCTATTTTACAAAACATCAAAAAGAAATTCCGATTTGTATATAATTATACAGTATAATATATAATGCTGATCTGTTACAATTTATACGCGTTAAAACATATCAGATGTAATTCTTTCTAATTTTTTGCACACTATTGAAAAAGGCTTTGTTTGATGATTAATTCAAATAAGGATAACTAATCATATTTGAACTAAATTATGAAATTTATATTGTCTTCGCTGCGGTTATTTGTATTACTTTATTTTTACAAAGCATCAAATAAAACTCTGAGTTATATATAATATTGCATTTTATAATAGTGTTGATCGGTACGCGCATTAAAACATACTGATATAAACCAAGTTTATTCGTTCGTTATTTCAAAAAAACTTTGTTTTATCGTAAATGAATTTATTCAAATAAGGAGGAGATAATTAATTCTTATTTGATTTAATTTATGCTATCTTAATATAAATGCTGATCTGTTACTTAATTGTACGTTCCATTTAAAATATATAAAGCATATGATGTAATTTTTTGTCTTTAAAAAATATTGAAAATGACTGTTTCTAAGAAATTAGATTCTTTAATATCTTTTTTGTCATATATTAAATATGCAAGAAAAACTCTTGTGAATTTGTATACTTGCCGAAACATTCTTATTTTTTTATTAATTCTTGAGGTAATAATAATCTGGTCGTATGTATATTTTTGGCTTTTTCCTGAATAGTACAGTACATAGAAGTTTGAACTAATTTTTGTCGATTTTATAGGATCTATAAGTCAAAACATTCATATTTGTACATTGAACCTTACGAGCCAATTGTGCATAGAACTTTTGGTGTCGAACAAAATAAATTTTGGTATATAATAGATCAACTAAGCAATTTTTTTGCTGAAATAAAGGCTAGAAGTCATGGGTTCAGACATCCAGATTATGATGGGTTTGTGCCATATTAAATTTTCAAATTATCCAACTTGGATTGGTTTTCTTGCAAATAGAATTTATGGTAGCGAACATCTGTATTAATATTTTTGTAAAATAGGCTTTTTTTAATTTATTAAACTAATATTAACATAAAGTTAAATTTGTATTTATTATCGTTGTGTAATGTTGTTTTTAAAATTTCAGCCAATATTTGATAATCTTGGTCACCTAATCTGAGTATCCAATAAAGTAAGATCCAATAAAGTAAAGATCTTCATAAATCTTTCCGAAATTATATAATGGTATTCACCTTCATACAGATTTAGGTATCACTTATATGTAGAGAATTTATGTACGTTCAACTTTTGAATATAAGAACTCTCTTCTATTAATCTTTTATAATGAGTAATATCGAATCTGAGTCATCTAATGACTACAATAAACAGTTTCGATCACCAGTAGTAATAAAATCTGCTGTTTCTCTAAAAAAAAAAGAAACCTGCCAATACAAACGTTTATATTAGTCAAATTGGTAATAAAGAATTATTTCCTCCAACCGTTTCACCAGTAACAACAAAGTCAAAAACATATAATTCAGTTGAATGGAAAACTTTAAATCAATCACTACTAAATGCAAAAAGACAAAATAAAATTAACCAAGACTGGGCAGAAGTTTATAGTAAATTCTTTCAATTCAAATTGATATATGATTCTGTCCAAAAAAAATCTTTTGATTTTCAAACGCAAAAAGATAATGAAATAAATAGTATGATCAAACAATCTATTCCCAGTGGATGTAGCACAAAAATATCACGTTGGAGGAAGGCTTACAATTTGGTCGTGCTTGTAATAGAAAAAAGTAATGATATTTGTCTTGAAGATTTTCTTGAAGAAATAAGAGATTTGAATATTACATTTAATTATCTTCAAGAAGTTGAGCCAGCGGAATTTATGACTTTGCTTAATAAAATAGTAGAAAATTACAAGCTAAAAATAGAAATTCAATAAAGTAAGTATCTTTAATTTTACATAATTTTAGTACAAATTATTTTCAGCAAAATTCAAATTAAATTTAATTCATTAATTATTTAATTCTTTTCTAGTTCATTTAATAAGACTAATTTTTATGTATAATTATGTTAAATGAATAATTATGTTAAATTTTAAATTAATTCGTTTAAAACTTTATTAAGATTTAAATTTAATTGAAAATTTATTAAGATTTAAAATGTGTTATAATATTGAAAACAAAAAAAAAAGTTTATGTTAAATTAATTAATAAATCTATTGGATATATGAAAACAGATATTTATTTCACATCCTCCCCTAAAGTTTATTAACTCAATTAATTATAGCTTTCGAGATACAGTTTTGTACGTATAATTTTTTTGAAGCACCCTAAAGTTTCACAATTGATGCAAACAAGATATGGATCTTTGCTAGCAAAATGATCTTACAAGCCATTGTTATACAAGATTTTTATTAAAAAAACATAATAAATCTATTTTTAGAAAAAATTCTAGAAAAATCCCATATCTCTTGATTTTGTCAAATTACAATTAGAAAAAGAACTCTGTTAAAAGTAGATTGCTACGGGCACGTGCTTATGGTGGGCACAACAATAACCCTAACTCAGGCTTGAAATTAGCAATTGATTTTCTCAGGAAAAATAAAATTTTATTGTATTACTCTTTTGTCAACTGACTTAATGCCCCTAAAGTTTCACAAATAGTAAATAATTTAAAGCACAATAGTAAATAGCAGAACTTGATTAACGCCTCTAAAGTTTCACAAGAGAACTTGATTGCGATAACTTATTAAAGTTACTGTCAGAAGCAAGATAACTCATTTGTCAACTAACTTAATGCTCCTAAAGTTTTACAATTATAAACAGCAGAACTTGATTATTGTAATAAGAAACAAAATTTATCAGGTAAAAAAAGCAAGATAACTCTTTGTCAGCTGACTTAATGCCCCTAAAGTTTCACAATTGTGAATAGCAGAACTTTATTTATTGTAATAAGTAGTTAAGCTATCCAAAAACTAATAGTTAATATAAATTGTACTCTAAAACTATAGTTTTAGAGTACAATTTATATTAACTATAAGTTTTGGATAACTTAACTAGTAATAAGAAACAAGATATCTCTGGAAAAAAAAAAGCAAGATAACTCTCTTTGTCAACTGACTTAGCGCCCCTAAAGTTTCACAATAGCAGAACTTATTGGTTCATATTACTGCAGTTGAAGCAAGATAATTGTAGAACTTGATTACAATAACTTATTAAAGTTACTGAGTTACTGTCAGAAGCAAGATAACTCATTTGTCAACTGACTTAATGCCCCTAAAGTTTCACAAAGCAAGATAACTCTCTTTGTCAACTAACTTAATGCCCCTAAAGTTTCACAATTGTAAATAACAGACTTGATTATTATAATAAGAAACAAGATATCTCAGGAAAAAAAAAGCAAGATAGCTCTCTTTGTCAACTGACTTAACGCCTCTAAGTTTCACAATAGTAAATAGCAGAACTTGATTATCAAAGATTACTGTAATAAGAAATAAAACATTTCAGGAAAATAAAATTTATTGGTTTATATTACTGCAGTCAATGCAAGATAATTGTCAACTGATTATCGAAGATTACTGTAATAAGAAACAAAATATCTTAGGAAGCAAGATAATTCATTTGTTAACTAACTTAACGTCTCTAAAGTTTTACAATTGTAAATAGCAGAAACAAGATATCTCAGGAAAAAAAAGCAAGATAACTCTCTTAACGCCCCTAAAGTTTCACAATAGTAAATAGCAGAACTTGATTATCAAAGATTACTGTAATAAAAAATAAGATATTTCAGGAAA